TGCATTTGCAATTGCATATGGTCTTAATTAAATTATGTTAAAAAGAAGGAAAAAAACAGAAAATTCTGTTGTGGAAGCCCATCATCTCCTTATTAGGTCATCTAGACTTTCATGTGTAATTGTATTTGTTGCAATATTGTAAATATGAATGAATGAATGATTGCATCAATGAAATAAAAAAAAAATAACATCGTTGTATAAAAAAAAATTGAGTTGCAAAAATAAAAGGCCAGAGAGAATCCAAACAGATGTGTTCTTGTCAATTGGGCATCTCTTCAAATGCATGTGTTGCAAGGGGTGTTTGAAAGTTGATATTCTAAAAGTTGTATTCAATAAATACTTGTATTCCCCAAAATGCATGTGGAAGTGTTAAAATGTAAAACAATATATTTATTATTTTCTGTAGATCTCACATATAATCAACAAAAAATAAGAATTGTTTAGTTGAGATAGTTTTGATTGTTGGTTTTAGATTTGAGTCCCATTTTATTTATATTCCCTATAATTTTTATTTTATATTAAAATTAGAGGATATATGTGAGTTTTCCCATAATTTAACTTTATGTTAATCAATCTATAACTGCAACCTGAACAACTAAATAATGTAATGTCAAAATATATCTATTACACCAACACATATATTTAAAGTATAGTGATTTATTACAATACAAAAATTTAACATATACAACTTCCAAACAACTCCTACAAAAAATGAATTATGGATAGCAAACAATACATACGTTCATAGAATCATTAGTTACCAATCCTAGTGGATTTTTCATTTGGAAAATCCATACTTTATGTGAATAAGTAACTAAATTACAATGAAAATTATATCCATATATCATAAAATTATATCAATATATTTGAAGAACACAAATCACCTATAAGAAATTATCATATTGATCACAAAATTATTTACTCTTATCCTCTACAAATGTTTCGGATACAATAGTGCAATCAAAGGATCACATATGAGAAGATTCAATTGGAGAATAGATAATCAAAGATCATTAAATAATATTGTCTAAAACAAAATCAAGTAACCGTAATGTAATCTCACAATTGAGCCAACAACTAATCAATCATTTGAAGCCGATTTGGTTAGTCATTTTAAATTGTTTTAGTAAAAAATTTGAGACAAATATATTTGCATTATTGGAATTATTGTTTTGATAATCGAGTCAAATACTCAATCAAAATCGACCTTGATCTGTGCTTAGTCTTTTCAATACAAAGTTTGGGGCACCTTACAAATATGTGTAATGTTTTACCTTTTTAAGGAGTTTGTTTTCCCTCGTTAAATGTTTAACACCCTGCTTTACAGTTTCCTCATATAAAAAGGCTAGGAGGATTTTGACAATTACTCAATCAGATAAAGAATGGGTTTAATTTAGATAAAAATAGCGAGAGGTTGAGAAATTGATAAAGAATGGAATTGGGCTTAGTGCGCGGCCCGAGAAAAGACTGACTGACCGAGACATTTTTGCCCCTCCGATTTGTATGGACTTGCATCCAAGAGCTGATGTGTCAAATGATGTTTTCTTACATTGCTTTATATGTTTTTTTAGATTTCACAATAGTTAGAGAAATGTGATAATAAAATATTATCAGATGTGGTATTGCGAGTAGAGGTGGCAATTAAGATCCAAATCCATGAATTCAATCAAATTCATCCACTAAATTATTCACTTAATTCAATCCATTTGATCCACATCAAATTGGATTGGAGGATTCATGGATTGATCCATGAATCCAAATGAAAAATTATGATTTGGTACCTATATTTTTTACATTTCATATTTTGGTACCTAAAAATTATATTTTTATACAAAAAATGTCATTGGAAAATTACATTTTGGTACCTAAAATTTCCATTATGATATTTTAGTACCTAAACTTTATAAAATTTACGTTTTGGTCTAAGCGTTGGATGTCACTCGGATTCATGGATCAATCCACCAATTCATTAGATTCATGGATCCACCAATCCAATCCACCAACCCATGAATGCAATTCATTTGCCACCTCTAATTGTGAGCTCAAATTTTATTACAAATTACGTTTTGGTACCCAAATTTTATTATTTTTACAATTTAGTACCTAAACTTTTAAAACTTTTACAAAGAGATTCAATGTGGTATGAGATATTTGTTGTTACTAATGGTCGCAAGGTCAAAAAATGATTCGTCACTAAGTTGACCCGACCCGACCCGTCCCGGCCCTTATAGAGTCAAAAGCTGACCCTGTAGAGTATAGACAAACTGACCCGTCCTGACCCTCAGAAACGGGACGGGTCAATAGGTTTTTAGGGTCAAATTTACTCCCCTAATCTCAATAGCCCATATTTATTTCCCTTAGGTTCAACTACAGACTGGAAAACTATAATCTCATACAACAACCAAGAAGCCTAAATCAATGCAAATATGCAATTACTAATAACAGTCATGAACAACAACAAGAACAAAAAGCAATGGTGCTCATAGCCCTCCAAGAATAGCAACGAAATCAAAACCACAAAATTCATACCCAAAAAATTTCCCCGAAATGATAATAACTCATTTTACAAAACCCTGCTAAATAATTCCCTTCCTTATTTTCAGAAATTAAGAAACAAAAACAAAGATCACACGTGTCGCCATCCCAAGTCCTTCTCCTTACCTCAACCGTTCCTTTTCGTTTTTCCCGCTATTTATAACCAATTCCCTCCATATCCCGCCTCTTTATTTCGGCATTCCCCTCTCCTCCTCCTTTCCTTTATTTTCTCCTTCAGTCCTTCCTTCTCTCTTTCTCTCCTCCCTCCCTAGTTAACCAAAAATCCCCAATCTTTTCCTTTCAACCCAAATCTCCATTTCCAGCAATAGAAAAAGACAACGAAGGAAAAAAGCCGGAAACTTCAGAAAACACCAAAGACCCATACCCGGTCTCTCTCCCCGACCTGGTATGTCCGTACCATCCAACAACACAATTCCCTTCCAAACGGCAAAAATGATGCATTGAGATCCCCAAAACAACAATGTCCGGCAATTCCTCCATCGACGATGACTTCGCCGCATTCCGGAACAGCAGCGCCTCCGCTGCCAGCCCCGGAATGCCGTACGACCCGAACCGCCTCAGCGGCGAGGGCTCCCCCCTAACCATGTCACCCTGGAACCAAACGACGCCGTTCGGCAAAGCCTGCTTCACCCAATACGACGACGCATCATCCGCACAGAACTCCTTAATCGGATCCTTAGTCCGCGAGGAAGGCCACATCTACTCCTTAGCCGCCTCCAAGGACCTCCTCTACACAGGATCCGACTCCAAGAACATCCGGGTCTGGAAGAATTTGAAAGAATTCTCCGGATTCAAATCTAGCAGCGGATTGGTTAAAGCAATCATCCTCTCCGGGGAAAAAATCTACACGGGTCACCAAGACGGCAAAATCCGGGTCTGGAAATCGTCGCCGAAGAATCCGAGCGTTCACAAAAGATCCGGCACTCTACCCACTCTCAAGGACATTTTCAAGAGCTCGATCAAGCCGAGCAATTACGTCCAGGTGCGACACCATAAAACGTCGCTCTGGATCAAGCACTCTGACGCCGTTTCGTGCCTTTGTTTTAATGAGGACCGCACTCTGCTTTACTCTGCCTCCTGGGACAGAAATTTCAAGGTGTGGCGCTTGTCCGACTCGAAGTGTCTCGAGTCGGTCAGCGCCCACGATGACGCGGTTAACTCGGTCGTAACCACGATTGAGGGTTTGGTTTTCACCGGTTCGGCTGACGGGACGGTGAAGGTCTGGAAGAGGGAACAGCACGGGAAGTCGACGAAGCACCCGCATCAGCAGACCTTGCTAAAGCAGGAATCAGCGGTGACCGCGCTGGCGGTTAACCCGGATGGTTCGCTGGTATATTGCGGGTCCAGCGACGGGATTGTGAATTTCTGGGAGAGGGAGAAGAATCTGTCTCACGGCGGCGTTTTGAAGGGACACAAGCTGGCTGTGCTCTGCCTGGAGGCGGCGGGGAGCTTGGTGTTCAGCGGGTCGGCGGACAAGACGATTTGCGTGTGGAAGAGGGAAGGGAATATCCACACGTGCCTGTCGGTGCTGACGGGACACACCGGGCCGGTGAAGTGCTTGGCGGTGGAGGTGGACGAGGAGAATTCTAAAGATGGGGATCAGAGGTGGATTGTGTACAGCGGGAGCTTGGATAAGTCTGTGAAGGTTTGGAGCGTGTCGGAAATGCCGCCCGACGGGAGTTTCGGGGCGGGCAGCGGCGGCGGGATGTTTTCCGATCGGGAGTCGTTGCCGTCGGAGGGCAGCTACAGAGCCGGCGGCAGCAAGGATTGGTAATTAATTAATATTATTATTATATTTTGTGAAAGGTCTTTATTGGTGGAAAACAAGGAAGAAGAAGAGCAGCGGTAGTGCCACGTGGAGGGAATATATATATCAAAACGTCATTTTTAGAAAACGTGGTGATTTCATTTTAAAAAAGAATAATTATAGTAAATTAAGTGATGTAATTAATTGCTAATTAGGGCTGGAGAAAAAAGAGAAGTATTTCAATTAGTCTACCTGACTGGAGTTGAAGAAAGATTGGGAGAGAAGAAGAAGAAAAAAACAATTTTCAGAGAGAACATTTATTATTTGGTTGTGTATTTCATTGTATTTGTACTATTTGTATGTATGAATTTAAAATATTTGACTTTTATTTGTTGTATTCGTATCAAGATTGTGAAACCGTACAAGAGATTATATTGGAAAAGTTGTACTAAAATCGTTGTTTAACAGTGTCGTTTTCTATTGTTAAAATCGCGTATAAATTTGGGTCGGAATGGTAAAGTTTCTAAAACATTGATTGTAAATGATTTTTCATCCGCTTGATTTCTTTTCTTTTAATTAAGCATTTGTTTTATCTGTTGTTTATGTAAAAAACAAGAAAGAACTAACGAGACAGAAATTTATTATTTCTGAATTTATACATTGCAACAATATCTCTAGATAATAAGTTTGCTTTAATCTTCACACTAAAACAAGAGTTTAATGAGATATAGAAAATGCGGTCGTATAGTTCAATCAATGTACAACTTTATTTTCTCTAAAAAAAATACAACTTTATTAGTTTGGACATCTGACAAATGAACATATTGAAACTACAAAGGCAACAAGAAGTGATTGCTATACAATCTTTGTATACGAAAAATGTACAAAACCTGTAAGCAAGCAAAGGTTTTCAGTGAGAAAGTTTGCGAGAATGGCACCTTCTGGTTCCAACTCCACGCAAATGGCCGCTTCTGTTACCAACAGAGTTCAAGTCCAAGCTCAGAGGACCTCCCATATCACCTCCTTCAAGTACTCTAAGGACCTGGAAAGTTTTATACACAAGAACAAAAAATGGTACCCTTGTTAAAGGCAAAGATAATCATGATAATGGAAATTCAAGGGTCATGCTGTTACAGGGCAGCCAGGCCGAACCTTGGACATTGGAGGCCGAAAGTCAGGTTCTAAATGGAGGCACAGAGAAGCAGCTCGAGCCATGGCATTGAGTGGATAGGCGGTGGATTCGCGCGCTGACAAGCGTGGATCGTGTAACTGGTTCGGGAAGTTTGTATTGCTGAGAAACCAGTTTGAGAACAACAGGTGCTGCCCGTTCTGGAACTGCAATTCGCTGATTCTTCGGCCAGTCAGTAGTTCCAACAAAATCACTCCGAATGCATACACATCGACCTTGTCCGTGACATTCCCTCCATTCACGTACTCTGGCGCCAGATACCCTGAAGTTCCAATCACGCGATCTTCGTTCTCGAATTGCCATTCGGAGTGCCTTCGAGCTAGGCCGAAATCAGCAACCAGAGGCTCGAAATCATGGGTCAAGAGTATGTTGTCCGGTCTCATGTCTCTGTGAACTATGCAACCGACTCTGCAGTCTTCGTGAAGATATCTCAACCCTCTCGCTGTCCCTATGGCGATCTTCAATCGCGAATGCCAATCCAAGATTGCCTTTCTGTTTGCTGCTAACCACACAAGAAAGGAAGCAGTTCATGACCTGAGATCAGATCAGTAAAATGATTCACAAAGGAGGAAACAAAAAGAGAGCTGAATTCGCTTTACCGTGTAGATGGAAGTCCAACGAGCCATTACATATGTACTCATACACCAAAATTCTCTTCTGCTCGTCAACACAGAATCCAGTTAGCAGCACGACATTCCTGTGCTGAGCACAGCTCAGCACCTTGACCTCCCTGCAGAAATCAGCATCTGCTTGCGCCCCAAGAAACCTCAACACCTTCACTGCAACCACCTGGCCGTCGCTTAGAACACCTCTGTACACATCTCCAAACCCTCCTTTCGCCAAGAAATTCTCATCCGAGAATCCGCCTGTTGCATCGTCCAGTTCCTCGTACGAGAACTCCCTCGGAGGTTTCCCAAAAACCGGGGCCTTGTGCTGACATAAGGAACACAAAGGAGGTGGTACCGATGATGTTCTGCCTAAAGACACTGCACTATTTCTTCTCATCACTATACTAGACCTCTTGCTGTACTCCTCTTCATGTCCGTCTTGATCATACTGCAGAAATTTCGCAAGCAAAGTTCTCGAATTCCTCGATTGAACTAGGGAATCGTCAAATCTGCTGCTCTTACAATCCACGGGTTTGCTTTGTTTTTTTCCACCGTCGAAGAGGGGGTTTTCTTCGTAGACAAGAAAAGGTGGCGTGATGGAGGAGGTGTAGCTCGGTATCGAACTTGCTGCTGTCAAGTGCGAACCACCACTCGACTCCTCCTGGTCAGGGCTGCTCACCGGGGTAGAATGATTCATCCTACGTGTCTCCAACTTGAAAAGATCCACGTCAGGTGATGAGGTGGCGGAGAAGTACGGGGTCTGGGGCTCGTTGGAGGGTCCTAGGTTGAGCCTCAGGACTTTGGCCTGTGAACCTTTCATCAGTACAATGTTGCACCGCAGCTCTTCGATGCAGTGCTTCAGCTCTTGCTTTAGTTTTCTGTTTCCACACATGGAAAAGTAAACTACAGTCAATACAAAATGTCAGCCAACTAATTAACTGATACAGATGAGATGTACAGCTCACCCAATTGTCTTTTCTTAATGTCAGAAAAAGGACTAACTACCTAGTAATAGGTGTCAAACATGTTAATGAGACAAATTACGTTATTCCCTCTAATCATTAAGTTGGTGCATCAGATGAGTAATGGGATGAGCACTACAGCTAAGAGGACACCATTTTTGCTTAATCATGAGAAAACAGGACTTAACCACCTTTTAACTAAAAGTAGAAAACCTAATGGAAATTTATTATATAATAGAAACGAGAAACAATACTTTTGCACTATGTTTTAAAATTACTTGTCCACAACAACCCAATTGGCCTCGTTTCGCTTTGCTTCTGCAACAACAACACTTCCTGAAGTTCCCGAGACCACCTTGATCCTCACTCGTACCTACAAATCAGACGATCAAATTCCATTATCGTCATTGTGAATAATGCTACAAATTAGAATACCGATTAGGTCATAACTTTCTATGCTACCTTAATTGGGCTGATGATCATGGTGACCAGAGTTTACTTCTAATTTCGATGAATGATGGTCCCTTGTTAAAGAAGTTATAAAGAGATTCTTTCTTTCTATCCAAGGTGGCCCCGAAGCCACGATTTCCAGACATAAACAAATGGCGAAGCACATGGCTGGGTTTCCAATAATTGACTAGAAGTTGTTTTTGTTTGTATGTGAGAGCATTATACAATAAATGACAACTTTGGGATCCATGAACCTTCTAAAAATCTGACAACTCAATCAAATTGGCAGGGAACATGGAATTCAATTGAACGATCCTGCTGCTATGGGTTCTGTTCATGATCATTCAAATTAAAAAAAAAAACTGGAAATCAATTTTTAATATTTACCTCGATTTGGTTATGGAACTGGAGCACCATCTGAGAACAGGAATCAGAGACTTCACAGGCGCGATCCGGCTGCCGGTGGTTGCTGGTGGTGCTGCAATCTCCGCTCAACCTCGGGAAGCTCCAGAACTTCCTGACTGAAATTAGGAGTTCGAAAACCAAAATCAAACCGACACGCATTTTGAAGTGGAAATTGGAGAATTGGTTACCGTCGGAGCTTAGTCAACGGCGGGTGGAGGAATTGAATTGAGTGTGGAGAAACAAGTAGTTACCGGGTTTCGGTTCGGGGAAAACGGCGAGCAAGGTTACGCAGTCGCCGGGGTGGACGACGTGAGTCAGAGCCCAAGCCAGGGCAGTTTTGGAGATGACTTTCTCGGCTTTGACGGCGACTATCACTCTGTCGGGTGCCGCGCGCGTTTCGGCGGAGGGCGGCGGGAAGGGATATTCGATTCCCGGCGGAAACATTGCGGTGGCGGTCGGACTACGGCGGTTGCAGGGGGGAATTGGGGAAGCGAAGCTGAGAGATTTGGGGAGCCGGGGGAGATTTTGGGCTCGGACCCTCACTGGCTTTTATGTGTAGGAAGGAATCTTTTTTTGCGCTTCCTAGGAGATTTCTTTGAAGTCTTAACTATGGCGGTCGGAGGGGTAGTTTTGGAATTCGCACTTTTGGGTCTAAACTCTGTAATAAAACGTTAGTTGGCATGATTGGTTGGTTGGGGCAGAAGAGAAAAGTGGGTTTTCGGCTTTCACGGTGTGAGGTGGAATTTTTATTTTGTTTTTATTCGTTTTCTCTCAGTTTTGAGAGGATAATAAATTGATAATGGTGGCGGTATATGATCCTAGACAGTATTGACAAATAACCATCCGTTAACTTTACATTTAAAGAGCAAATTTTGTATGGGCTTTTGAATCGACATTGAACTGATATGATAAATTTTTTTCTAAATTTTACTATTAGTCTCATGATTTTAATTGTATGGTCAACATAAACAACTATTTTACTCATAAACCACTTAGTTCAGAAGTCTCCTTGTAAATATTAGGTTGCAAAATTTACCGTCACTATCGCATATTTGTCGAAATTCAAATTAATTTTGTCCCATAATGCACTCAAAACTATTTATAAATGTTGCTAATTTCCCTTACCTTTTTTTTTGGATAGTTAACTCCGAAAGAGTTGTCATTCAACGAAGAATACTAAGTTTAAAGTTATTGTCTCTAAATTTAACGGAAATTATTTTCCTAGCTCTAGGAGAACTTTTCGGTTTATCAAGGTGTTTGTGAAGCAAAAGTACCTCTACAAATTCTTAATTGTACTCGGGACTCCCCAAAACTCAAGAGACTGCTAAACTAAGTGAGATATTGGTCTGTGAGTATTGTGATGCTATTTCGTTGTCACATTATTTTGTCGGCGCAGTCAAATTGAAGGTGTATGACTATATCGTTTTGTTTCGACAACGTCAACGATGGTCTGGTTGTACATCATATATTTCGACAAAATTGACAATCATAATAATTTTTTTCGAAACGTGATCTATATATCTAACAATATGTTCAATCTATTAACTCGAACTTAATAATTGGTGAACCCCAACAACCCATTTCATAAGAATAGTGATTTATGTATTGTTTCGTTTGTGGTTTCTAGTCGAGTGTCACTTAGGCTCCTGCGGAGGTCCTAGCTAGCTAGGGACCAGAGCTTTGTAAGGTTTTTTTTTTTTTGTACTTTGGTTGCGAAATTTCCGCCACTGGGGAGTACTGGTAGATACAATTATCGTTTAACAATCGGCCCGACGGTTGGATAATGGCGGATGAGGACGACGAGGACAAGTCGTGTTCCCATATTCTGCCATGTTCAAGTTCAACGTAAGAGAGCAGAGGGGAGAGTGACTTGCCAATGGCAATGCTTTACGTTACACTATCAGCTAGCTGTCATGTGAGGAGAGTTAATTAAGAGTCGCTGTTTAAGAGGACCACTTCCACCCCCCATTTTCCTTCTTAATTTTTCTCCATCCTCCGATTTATTGTGGTTGTTGGTCTAGGGAACTTGGTATTTTCTTTCATTGATGTTGGGCTTCAGATTTGCGTCCGACCCTGATGACGACGAATCCGGACATCCATCCCATCTTCACGAACTAGGCCCAATCGATTCATGAATCGTGAATCGTGATGAGGGGCTGTCAATTAGGATGCCAATCAAATTCATAACTGTGAGTGCCCCGACCACTCCTCTTTTTTTTTTTTTTTTTTTTAGGAACCTGTAAATCTTTTATTTAACCAGTGGAGGCTGTTACATTATCCAGCTGTAGCTGGTCAAGCAAGATCATCGGGGGTATATCTACCCAAACGATACGTTCATTCCATCGAGTTTCCACATGTGCCATCAAATGAGCAGCTTCATTTCCCGTGCGTTTCACATGTTGCCATGAACATTCTCCCATTGCCCTCAGGTAACGTCTAATGCTCCTGCAGTGCCCCGACCACTCTTGAAATAGTCATTATGGGGAACTCTCGTATTAATTGGGTATAAGGGTAAGAAAAAATATTTATACTTTTTTTAGGGGATGAGACGGGTATGGTTTTACACTACTAATCTCATATTCATACCGATACCTGCCCCACCCAGAGTATTTTTCGTTTATAAAAAATATAAGAATCATATTTTGATATTTCGATGACAAAGGATAATTCAAAAAAAAAAAATAAAGAGTTGAAATGTAATTGATTGGTCACGCAACCTGTTGGGCCAAGTATTGGGATACGTGGTCGCTAAGGCCCATGGTTACAAAGCCCACAAATGGGCTAAACTCTAGCAACCAGGCAGGCACAAAGACACTGAGGGGGTCTTTGTTCTTGACACCAGAAGACCTCCCGACATTGGGGCACGGTTATTCTGATAAGACCGCCCGACATAAAGGACCAACGACCTTCCAACCCTTTCTGTACAAAGAATGCAAGGGATTCGTACTGACAAGACATTTAATGAGCCCAAAGGCGTCCCAGAACGTCCGACAAGCCATTAAATGTTTAAGCCTCAGCCAGAGTTAGTATAAATACCCCCGAAGGGCAACATTTATGGTAACTGGTATCGACCTCTCTCTCTCGCTTTCTCTCTCTCTCTCTCTCTCTCTCTCTCTCTCTCTCTTATTTACTACATTTCCACTTCTCTCGCTAACTTTGGTATTAGAGGAGGTACCAGATTCCCCTAAGAACCTTTTTGTAGGGTTTTCGAGACCGCCCCCGAACGATCGAAGACCGTTCATTATCATTGAAGCCTCACAAACCGCCTGGTACTAATCAGGCTCAAACATTTTGGCACCCACTGTGAGGCCTCACGACTTTGTTACGGGAAAGATGGAGGATGAGTTCGATACCCCGAACAAAGAGATGACCGAGAACAACACCCTCTGGGGTTTATCACCAAGAATTGAAGACGAAATAGGGCTAGAGGAGGTGGTCAAAAGTCAGGGCCAACAAATCACGAGCATGCAAGATAGCCTCGTCCAGATCCTCCAGCTCTTCAAGGCAAAGGAAGACCCCGCCGAGGATTCAAGGGAAAAAATGCGAGAAGAGAAACAGAAGACATTCCACATCCTTGACAGCCTTGCTTAGACAGAAGGCGGGGGACTAGAAGTGGAAGAAGCGAATATTAGTTTTCTCGAAAAACATCTGCGGTCGACCTATGGAAAGCATAAGAGTCCGAACGTCCTTCAAAACCCCTTGTCGAAGGAACTGTTCAAAACCCCGGTTCCCCCTAATTTCTCGTCCTTGAGGCTACCCACGTATAGGAATGGCAATGGGGCAGCTCTAGGGCGGGTATCTCGATACCCATGCCCGCCCCATGGCAGGTCAAGTCCAGGTCGGGTAATTTATCATGGGGCGCGGGTTGGGGCAGGTCGACCCAATGGGTATGTAATTTATGCGAAAACATTAAAATATTCATTATTTTCATTAAAACACCAAGAAATAAACCATAATATGATAAAATATAGTTAAATTATTGAGGTTTTCACTTATTTACAACTTTATTATAGCTAAAATATAATGTAATAAGAGGAAACTCCTAAGTAATTTGACTAAGATTACATGTAATTTAGGCAAGAACGGGCAGGTCGAGTCGATGAGAGGTACCCATGCCCGCCCCGCCCTGCCTACGGGTACAACTCATCAACGCATCAGACTCGGACCTATGTCATGCGTTCCCGGTCACGTTCAGCGGCCAATGCCTAAGTGGTACACCTCCCTCCCGGAAGGGATATCATAGAGTGACTGGTGCAAATCCGCAAAGGAGATCTGGGACAAATTGCAAGTCGCGCACGAAGGTACTTCCCATGTCAAAATTTAAAGGATAAACAGTCTCAAGCAAGAGTTTGAATCGTTTGTCATGAATCTTGATGAATCAATCAAGAACATGAATGAACGATTTACCACGATTGTAAATAGCTTGAGAAATCTGGAGGTAGAGTACGCTAGTTTTGATCTGGTTCGGAAGGTTCTTTGGGCATTACCTAAGAAATGGATGCACAAGGTCACGGCAATAGAGGAGTCCAAGGATCTCACCAAACTAAGTCTGGATGAGCTAATTGAATCGCTGATCACGCATGAAGAAAAATTAAAAAGAGAAGATCTGGAGGAACCTAAAAGAGAAAAGAAAGAAATTGCTTTCTCTCAAGAAGATGAACTGGAAAGTCTTGAAGATATGAAAGATGAAGAACTTGCTATGCTCAGCAAGCATGTTGCCAAGCTCCTAAGGATGAGAAGAGAAAAGAAACGTGGAAACTTTCCAAGCAGACCAAGAGAAGGAGAAAATGATAAAGAGACTAGCAAGGGAAGCCGACACTTGACTCGAAACAAAAGGGAAGGAGTAAGCATTAACGACCTCAGCCTCAAGCCGGATTCTTCAAGTGCGAAAAGACATGGCACATCAAGGCTGAATGTCCCTTAACTAAAAAGGAAAGAGCCTATGCAACGTGGAGCTGCAGTGAGGAGGATGAAGATGAAGATGAATCATGTCAAAGGTTCCGTGCATACATGGTAGTCGATGAAAGTGAGGAAGAGGAATCACAGGTAAGATCCTATTACTCTGACTCATATAGTGAGAATGATCAACTAGATGAAACCATCAAAGATATTCAGAATGAATTTATGAATCTTAACCACAAGCATTCCTTAATTAAAGCAAAATATGGAGCACTAGAAACAGAGTTCGAATCACTAAAAATTGAGAAGTTGAGTGTGGAAGATCAACTCAGGAAAATGAAAAATGAGAATGCAAAGCTGAAAAAGAAAATCAAAGATACTGAAGAAGAATGAGCTAAAACTAGAAATAAGATGAAACTCACTTCTGTTAAGAGTCAAACCAGGCAATATATGTTTAAAAAGGGTATACATTAAGAGTGTTTTTACACAAAACAGGTCATTATATTGCTAATTGTAGGAAAATAATAGCCAAAAGAAAATAAAGAAAAACCTACGTGCAATCACAATCTAGAACTGTCGGGTAAAACATTTAACAAGACTTGTCAACCCTGGAGAGTGTCCAAACTTGTTTGGATACCCAAAACTAAGTGAGCATATTTGTTTGTGTGCAGACCTGTCCCCAAGTGAGCATGGAGGGTAGCGTGTGGATACTTGACAGTGGATGCTCACACCATATGACGGGTAATAAAAATCTCTTTATAAACTA